CTGTTACTAGCATGGGGTACCTAATAAAGTGGCCGGTGAGTGTATTTGATGGCTCTTTCCCTTAAGTGTCTGATTAAGCTGCACGATAACATAAAACCAAAAAAGCTGACATGCCTGCCACTGTCAAAACTTTATGGTTCATCTAATTTCATTTCATAGCCTGCAGATAATATTTGGCTTGGTGCAATAATTTCCCTGGATACAGAAATACCAGATTGACCTGACAGAATGTGTAGAAAATAAAGCTGATGTTATTGTTATACAGAACATTTTCTCTGTTTTTCTACAGAATCAGTCTGAAGGAGATTCTGGGTCGCCGTCATCTTGCATCATAGACCTGAGTCCATCCTTAGAAACACCCAGATCCTCAGATTCCTCCATCCAGTCCAACCTTGGTAGGTTTTTTCTTTATTTTCGTCCTGAAAGCACATTTGTCACCGTATCTCCTCAGTGCTGAGGCCTCCACTGCAGAGCTTAACAACAATACTTAATCAATGCAAGAACCCATCTTCACCATTAGCGTTTGATCCGATAAAAGCCTGGCGAGACCTTGTCAGTTCTGCTTTACTAGGAGCCATTGTCTCCTCACTGTCAGCGCTGTGTTTGGTGTTCCATTGCCTCCGGTACACTTAAGCCTGCTAATCCTTGCAAGGGCCAGCTGGCCTGTCCAGTTTCCCGTCACCTTTACAACCGTCTAGTGTAGATTCATGAGCAATGGGTCCTCAGCAGCATTTACAGTATGAACAACTAACCCTGGAAATCTCTCCCTGCTGCTATCATTCAGCCACATCAATCTGACCATTACCACTTTCTATTTATTTTCCTCCAGCTTGACCAGGATCAGTCATTTTGCTCTGACTCTAATGATGCGTGTTTCTGCCTGCTGTGTTTCTGCATCCATCATACTTGAGATGAATGTGTGTTAGTTTCACTTTGCAGCTAAAATGTTAGATCACGCGAGCAGTGATGCAGAAATGCTTCGTGCCCAGATATTTCTGTGTAGCATAAAAAAGAGTAAAAGCCAAGGTCAAATTTATTTGAAAAACATATCGGAAAAAAGAAAAACATACCCCAGGACTTTACAGTTAGATTCTGATTATGAACGAGATACATGAAAATAAATATAAATCTGTCAGTAGTTATTTGAATTTAAGAGAAACAATGGCAATGTAAGAGGAGGACTTTGAGCAGAAAGTCCTACATTAAATTATGTTTTAATAAAAAAAAAAAAAAAACAAGAAAGCAGTCAGATGTCAGCATATGTGCAGCACCATCCTAACGCTGCTAGTGGCAGCATCATATTGTGGAAATTGGAAGAGACTGGTGCATTTCACCAAACGGATAACATCAGAATTTTGAGGAAATGTTAAAGCAATATTTGAAGACCATTAGCACGCCACCAAATTAGATACAATGCAGTTTAAGGACAACAAAGGCTACATCATGGAGTCACGATTCAAATAAAACCCTGAATCTATAGAATATCAGACAGAGAACTAGAAATAAAACTAATAAATTTTACACATCAAAGCAAAATGTGTTCCCTGCATTTAAACCATCCTTTATGGAGCAGTGGGAAGAAATCTGTAGGTAAACACTAATCCAATGTCAGCTGTTTATATTCAGGACTGAACACAGGGGACAGTACGCCACATGACCAGTTATGTGTTAAAAAAGAAAAGAAATGCTTCAGATTCAACTGGCTGAGTCCTCTATCAAA